AGCTTCCCTCCATCAGCTTTCAAACTATTGATGAACTATACTACAATATATTAGCATTTCCTTGCTTGAAATTTCTAATAAATGTTCAGGTTTTTTTTTTTTTTTTTTTTTCTTTTTTTCTTCTTCGCCTTGACTGCAATGCAACTTCATTAGAGGCTGGCAATAGAAAAGCACAAAAAAAGAAAAAACTTGTCGCCCATTGCCATGGAAAGAGTTAGTGGGGCGTTCAAGCCGACTGTTTGCAGTGCATTGTCTGCTGTCTAGTTGCCAGCCGTGCTGCTGCCACAGCGACTTCGATGGCGTTGGCACCCCTGCTCCATGCCCATGACACCTCGGCGGCGGCTGCAGCTGCTCCCGTTGCACCTACTCCGCATGCGGCGCATTGCATTTTGGGGGCCATTGGCAATGTTAATGGTGTGCATTATTTTGATGTTTATTTATGTTGCTAGCAGCACACATCTAAGCACACTCACACACACACACACAGACTCACACGGTTCGGTTACATGTGGCCAATGCAATTTGCATTTGCATCTCAATTGCTTTTTGCATTGTTTGTTTTGCAGTTGTCGTTGCTGTTGCTGTTGTTGTTGTCATTGTTGGTGTTTGTGTTTGTGTTGCTGTTGCTGTGGCTGTTGATTATCTCTCTCCACACACAGCTGCGTTTGCGATGCGGATCCGGTTTTCGTTGACCCACTTCCGGTAGGCAGTTGCGGGCTGCCAGTTGCCAGTTGCCAGTTGGCAGTTGCGTTCTGCTTGACCTTTGTCTCGCCCTCGCCTTGGCTTACACACACTGGTTGCCCACCCACAGCAGCCGCAGCCGGGCTCCATCATGATCTGCACCTCCGCACGGTCACCGACTCAGCCAGATAAGACGCCTACGCTTTGCACTACATTCATATTTCGTTGTCGTTGTTGTCTGTCGGTTGCCATTTCTTCAGCTCTTGCCTGTAGATCGTTCTTTTTCTGTAGCATTTTGTTTATTATTTCTCTCTCTATCGCAGCTCTATCTAACCCTATTCCTATTCCTATACCTATCCCTATTCCTCGCTCGCGCTCAGCTCCTACATGGCAATTTATTTAGCATTTTTATTGTGCTGCGTTTTGTTGCTCTGCTTTTTTTATGCCTGCCATCCATTTTTATCGTCTGTCGTTGTTTGCTGTTGTTGTTCGCGTGTTATTAGCCATGATAACTCCCCCTCCCCCCACCTGCCCACACTAGCCCACGACTTGCACTTCTTTTGTCTTCAGTCTTCACGCCCGCACCTTGGCACAGCATACAACAAATTATGCATGCAAAAATTACCTTCTTCTTGTTGCTGTTGTTGTTGTTGTTGCTCGACCACTCCTCTTCTTGTTGTTGCTGTTGTTGTGCATGTTAGATTATGAGAAATTTATGCAATATTTGACATATATTTGGCGGCGTCAGCGCAAAGCCATTTCAGTAATGCTCTAAATATGATTGTTTATATATCTTGAAATTTCTTGCCTTTTACAAATTATTTATGGTTTACGCCAAATGAAAATTTAATATATCAATGCAAATATTTGTATGTATGGAGTAGCCTCTGGCTACAATATATACATACTATATATAATATACAATATTACTAAAGCCCAATCATGTATTGAATTAATTTCTTTAGTTAACGGAATTTTTAATGTATAAAGTGATTAAGCTAAGTAATAAATATTTTTAATATAATATTTAAATACTATTATTATTAATATTACATTATAATCGAATATTTAAATATTTTTATACATATTTTATGACTTAGTCTATGACAGATTCGTTCTACAGACTCCCAGCCTATATTCAATTCGAACGTTCTCCGATATAAATCTTTAAATTGGAACATATCCAGGTATGCAACGAATTTGCCATGACTATGATTTAGTCATTCTCTGCTGTTTCGAATGAGATAAAGTGATGCAAAACAGAAAAGTGAGTCTGTTCTGGCAGGAGATGCAGCCAACCCGCTGTGAATTTTGCCACCGTCGCTTGCTTTTGTTCCTATTTAGGGCCAGTTGCAATTTGACTGTGAGTTGTTTTGCCAATTTGGCAACGAAGATGAGCAAACAGACAAATGCGAGGCAAACAATTCAATTGATGGCAGAACTCGGGCAGAACAGGTAGCATAGGTAGAGCCTGGACCCACCCAAGGTGAATTTGCAACAGGCCGAGCTCTGGCATCGGCAATTGTCACATTTGCAGTTGGTGGCGGCAAATAGAAAGGCAGCTTCAGTTGGGCAGAGAGCCTGACAAAGTGTTGACTTCTGCGCACTGTTTGCACCTTAATTTACAATCTTTTGCGGTCAACAGTTGCCGCCTGCCGCTCGCCGTCCGCCGCCTGCGGTGTCAAAAGATTTTCTCGTATTGCTATTGTCGATCTGCATTGGGCTTCAGTTTGAAGCTTTGCCTAACCCATATCCATTATGCACACGCACACACACACACACACACACACATATATATATATATATCAAGAGATGGGCGCGCGTGTGTCTTTAACCCATTTAGATTCGGAAGTTGGGCCTATCAAATGCACAATTCTTGTTCGCTTTTGACTTTGACCCCCGTGTCAATATTGGTTATGCTTAATGGCAATGCACTCGAACTTTACCGTTGGGCCCTGTTCCAGGTGCTACTCCCGTGGCGTTTGCCTTAATTTGATAGCTTGTTTTATTTGTGTGGAGCAAACAGCTTGAGTGATGGCCCTGATGCAGGGCTCGACCTGGTCCAAGCACTCTCCAACATTGTCCGTTTTTTGGCTGCCTTCTCAGCTTTTTTTTTCTCCCTTTTCTCTCTTTATTTTTTGATGAAGTGTCACGCTGTCCAAGTTCAATTAGTTTTGTATGCCGCTCTTCAAAAGCTACGCCGATGTACGTTCTGTGCCCTGCCATGTTTAATGCCAAGATTGATTTTTATGTTGTTGTTGTTGTTGTTGGTGTTGGTGTTGTAATTGCTGTTGTTGTTGCTGTGCTGTTTGTAGTGCTTGCGAGATTGACATTTGACGTGCATAGAATTTGTCTAACTGTATTTCGCCTTTCGTGTGCTGTGTGACGTTCATTACAAGCCGTACCCAAGAGCTTGTCTCACCATTTTGCCGCTCAATTTCACGAGCCATTCCTATGGCTGACCCATACTGGCCGTAAATAATAATATTTCTGCCTCTATAGACACGAAATAAATAAAGTCGATAGGGATATATACATATATAACACAATTTTCACAATAAAAATTAATTTTAAATTTTTATTGATTTTTTAATTTTAAATTATTTAATTTATCTAAAATATATTAATATTGCTTCGATTTATAGAAAAGTTGCCCATAATTACAATTGAATATCAGACATTTTATCAAAATTGCAAGTCATTCGAAAAAAATAGTATTAAACAAAAGACTTAGGCAACAAACTTGCCCTGGGAGGCACCAATTTAAAATAGTTTACGTGTGACAAATCTTAGAGAGATGTTTCATCAAACTTTTGCGAAAAGTGTTACAACTGAGTCACGGCAGCCAACAAAAATATTTAAATAAACGAAAATAAAAACAAGAGTAAAATATCTTGATAAATTTATATATCATCGCATAAAATATTTATGCAAAAAATTGCAAGTGGAATTCGTGGAAAAAAACTAAAAGCAAATAAACCTAAGTGTATATGGGTGGGTCTCTGTATGTGTGTGTGTCTGTGCCTGTGAAGCTGAAAAGCAAATCATGAGCCATGAACATGGCCAACAATGCGGAGGCTGTGAAGCTGCTGTGCGAATCGAGGGGAGGCCAGCAGAAAGGCTAGTGACGCAGTTGCACTTGGTCAAAAGGCCAATGCGATGATGAGGCGGTTGCTGTTTGGTCTTATGCTAATACCAACAATAACATCAGCAGCATCAGCAGCAGCAGCAACAACAACAACCACAATAGGAGTCGTGAGTAAAACAACAAAAATGTACACAACCTGTAAGTTTGGTGTTGTGGTCTGCGGTCTTCGTATTTCGTATCAGTATCTGTATCTGTATTTCCATCTGTATCTGTCCCTGTCTCTGTGTGAGCTTTCATTTTCGAAGCGATACCGTTAACTGCAAAGCGCTGGAAATAAACAGAAAGATCTAAAGAGGTAGCAAAGCAAAAACAAAAAACAAAACGAATAACGAAACAAAAAAAAACTCTAAACGAATGAACGAACGAACGAGCACAGCAACCAGCCAAGAGCAACGGCTAAAGCAACAACAAGTGCGAAATGAGCTGAGAAAGAGGAAATGCAACAACAAAATGGCAAATGCAGCGACGTCGACAGCAGCAGCGACGTTGGCAGCGACGTCAGCAGCAACGGCAATATCGACGCCGGCAACTGTAATTGTTGCTCGCATGTTTACAAGGCGAAATAACAGGAAAAAATGTTAAATTTTTGTTAAGTAGGTCAAGTTGTGCTGCGCCAGAGCGAGATAGAAGCGCAGAGTGGAAAAGAGATAGCGCTAGCGCACGATACAGAGAGCAAAAGAGTAATAGAGCGAGCATCAAACAAGTATGGCCGCAGAGTTAGAACTTGCCAAACTTTTCACTTGAGCAAATGTAAAGTAAATTCAAATAAAAGAAAATAAAAAATATTAATAATTTTGTACATTTTTATTATTATTAATATTTGTGAAATTCAATCAAAGTTGCAATTATTTAGCAGTTGGCCGCTCAAAGCTGACCCGCCTTTGCTGCAGCGCGCAACATAAACAAACTTAGCCCTGACTTTGACCGCCAGAGCAGAAGGCAACCGCGACCTCGGCACAAGCAACACCTGCGGCCAAACATGTTGGCAGCACAACATGTTGCAGCTGCCGCGCTCTCTGGCTGGCTGGCTGGCTGTTGGCTTCCTCGCTAGCTCATGTTGCTCACTCGGTTGCTCTCAGGTTGGCGTGCGCTCAGCAGCCAGGTGAGTAACTTCTTTTGATCGCTGCTGCCGTTGCGGCCGACTGCGCTGTTGGCTGCGCTGCTGGCAGCGACTTCTTGGGCCGCTGCGGCTCGAAAATTTCTTTTCGTGTTGCGCCTGCGCACAGTTGGCTTTCTACCGTTGACGTCTTCGGATTTGTGCGATTCTTGGCGCGCAGCAGTTTTTAGCGTTGGTTTCGCGTGTGGCTTCCGATTCGGTTGTGGACGTGGACTCTCTCAGATAGACACTCACACACACACACACACATACACATACGCATACGTATATGTACAGATACACGCGCGCAGCATAATAAAAAGAGCAAGCAATAGAAATTGGAACAACCAATAAAAAAAAAGTGACCAGTTCAATTAAAAAGAGTGTGCTACAACAACAACTGCAACAACAACAACAACAGCAACAACAATAACAACAGTGATAAACATGTTAAAAATGCGTTACAAAAATTGTGAAAATGGTTGAGAAAATGTTGAGAGCAACGCCAGAACTTGCTCCAGAAAGTGCTTAAATATCGAATTTATTCTATATACCCATATATACATATATAGAAAAGATATACACACAACCACAAAGCAGATTTGAAGAAGTGCAAGTGCAATCGGCCCGCAGTGCAATACAATTATTGAAAACAAGCAAAGGAAATACGCAAAAAAGTTAAAATTCAAACCAACAAATATAACAAAGATATATTACTATATTCATAATCGATTCAATCCAATCAATTTATACTCCACCCGTTCAATCAAACAATCAATACGAACTCTCTCAAGAACGCTGTTGTATATATTTCCAGAAAATACAATACAATAATATATACCTATATATACATATAACCTATATATCGTCATCTCAGAATCTTTTCCAAAACACAATCAGTCAAAAGTCGTCCATTGTACATACATATATACGAAAAGCAATAAATCAATATAAATATCTATATACAAATCCCACATCAAGGGCTCTGTGTGCTATCTAAGGAATATGAAATAAACACAAAATATATAAATACTATATACCCACTCGTACTACTCCCCGTTCATTATCTTATGCATATATATATTTATGTCTTCCTCCCATTGTTTTTGTGAGTATACAAAAATGTTTAAGCTTTTCATTTCAATTTTATTTTTGTTGTCCATAACATGATTTGCCTTTGACTCCTAACCGTAAATCCTAAACGCTTAACCCTTAACGAGCATGCTTTGAAATACTAATACTTACATATTTATTAATTGCTAATTTGATTGGTCGAAGGATCTTAATCTAACAGTCCTCGAGTAAATCAAGCTCGTATTCATGACATCTCTATATGAAACATATCAACTCTCATTCACATCAAATCGGATACAAATACTACACATATGCAAACATATTAATGAAACTGTCTTAAAGGATTTCAATATCGCGCGTTAAAGGATTACAAGTTAACTAAAGAACAAGGATTATACAAATATATACATATAACAAATAAAACTAAAGGAGACAACAAGAAAAAACCAACCAATAACAACAACAAAACCACAATTTCAGAACTATAGTTCAAAATGTGCAACAGCTGAATTCGGCAATTTCGTAAATGTAAGTAAGATTCAAATATGGCAAAATGTTCTAGGAGCCGCCAGACCCAAGTCAACGGCCTTCAAATATGAGCATTCCCAAGCCTGGTTTATAAACAAATCAGCGAAAAGTCATTGACCGAATTCGTTTCCGATATTACTCACCTGTTATGAAATACAACGCAATACATAGGACTGTTTTGTTAGGGGGATGAGATAATGTCAATACAACTGAGAGCTGAGAGTTAAGAATTGAGAGCTAAGAGCTCAGAGCTAAGAACTGACAGCTGAGCTTTACTTATGAGACAATTGCGAATTTCACAACTAGGCGCGTGTCTATAACGTATTCAAATAAAGCTACTGTGAATTTACAGTTACAGTAGCAAAACGCTACATACATATATATGGAGAATAATTCAAATATGAACAATATAAATTTGAAATTTATTTCGTTTATTTGATCTTATGAAGCACTGGTCTAAGCATAGATAATCGCACCGTTTGACCCCGACCCAAAAGCTAAGACCCAAATAAGAAAACTCTTAACTGCACTCGGAAGTAAAGGTTATTTTAATTTTACAGCTAAGATTGTTGCCAAGCGCTTTTGCCGAGCTAAAAATAAATCATAAAAAACCGTTTGTTTGTCTACCAAAATGGTCTAAAATACAACAGCAACAACAACAAGAACAACTACGGCAATGGCAGCCAAAAAAAAAAAAAAAAGCCAACACACACACACACACAGACATAAATATGAACACACGTACACCTCAGCAACAACAGTAGCGGCTGATTGTACCGTTATATGACGCAAAATTACGCTTACTCATTCAGCGAGGCGGCGGCTCCAGAAGCAGAGAGGAGAGCCCAAAAGCCGGAGTCACAGCCGTCAAAGTCAAGCTGGGAGCGCATCACCAAATAGGCACAGCTGCTACAACAACAACACAGCACAGCATGCCGAAGCTTAAATACTCTTCAATAAGAAGCTATAGTTGATAAATGATTTAAATGATAAAGAAGACGGTGTCAATTAGCAGAATTTCAGATAGAATAGAAATATTACGAAGAGAGATTTTCAGTAAAGCTGAAGAAAAATAATTTTTATATATTGCTTTTCTATAGCTCATCTGCTCAAATACGAAAATACTGAATCACAGCTAAGCTATAGGTGGATTAGTTGAGAATCAAGACTGGGAATAATTAAAGTACTCATTAGAAATATAAAATATATAAATTATAGATTTCTTTGTCCATGTCCGTGACAAACGCACTGCCAAAATATATATGCCCTCTAGAAGGGTATACTCTATAACTTTATAAGCGCTGCAGCGTCAATGAGCGTAGCGAATCTGACTGCGCATTAAGTTGCATTTCGGTTGAAGGAGGAGGGACTTAAGATTTTTCAGCTTTTCTTTCGGTTTTTTATCTCTCTAATTGAACTTTTTTGTGTATTTTCGAACAAATCAATTAAGTGCGCTTCGAGGTGAACTGCGACGGCTATGCGGCTTGAACATATCAATTACAAAAGCAGAAGAAACTAAGTCCAAATTCAATAATTGCTTCCCTAGATTTATCCACGGCTGCTGCTCAATTTTATTAATTACTTTTTCTTTTCAATTTTTTTGTGCGTTTCAATTTTGATGTGAATCAAACGGAATTCTTGTCGTATCATTCTGTTATTCAGGTCGATAATCGCATAACTGTCACATGGCTGTTGCCATTGCCACATATTTATATTCATTTATTATGCAATACGATTTAGCTGTTAATTATCTGTGGAATATTCTTACTAATAATCCCGTTGGGAGCTTAGAATATGCTTTTATGTTCAATTTGCACATTTTGCTAGTCCAAAATCAAAATACTACGCAAACATGTATATAAATATTTGTATATGTATATAAAACAACAACAAGAAGAACAACGACAACAACAGCAACAACTACGACAACAACAATATCAATAAACAAAAATTTTTAGACGCGCGCTTTTAAAAAGTTCGCTGACCCGAGCAATGTTTTGGGTTTTTGGGGATTCAGCTGGCCAGACACGCCGGATTGTTGTCTTCATTGTTGTTGCCGGTTCAGATGACCACATTAAGCTTTAAAATATTGTCTCTCAGCATGCAGATGAGCTGCCAAATACCCTGTAGTCAATTGAAACAATTAAATATATGAGCGAATAAAGGAAAGAAAAATATAAACTTTGTGAAAAAAAAAATCTAATTTAAACTTTAATTTACATATATATTTTATTTAAAAGTTAAATTTGAATTTAAATAAAATATACATGAATAATAAATGTAATAAATAAAACATAACATATTAATTATTTTCATATATTCATATAATCAATGTAAAATACAAAACTAAATATGAATATGAATTATTATCATAATTAATATACCAATATACCCTCAACAACAATCACACAAGCTACAGGGTATTCCAAGTTTCGGCACTCAACCAGCGCATGAGGCACGAGGGCGTCATTTAAATAACAACAAAGTAAAAACCAACTAAAAATAGTTAAACATCATAAAAATTTGCATAGTTGTTGTTAGTTGTCGGTTGGCTGGGTTGTTGTTCGGTTGTTCGGTTGTTTGGCTGTTTCACTGTTGGTTTGCACGGCTGGTTAGTGGGACCAGCTAAACTTAGCTAAGCAGAGACACAGGGTGTGGTGATGCCAACAAGTCTTGAGCAGACCTCTTCCACATCCTCGGCCATAAAAATAGCGCCAAGCCTCTTCAACTCAGCGAGCTGACCGCGCTGCCATTTGAGTTTATCGCCGCGCTGTCATCTCATTGCAAAGGGACACCTAACGGAGTTAGCACTGTACAGGCACTGTGCGAGCATTTAATACTGCCTCCATTCATAAAATAACTCAACTACGATTAATTCAAACACGTTTTCAAACCCGTACAGTGGGTTATATTTTGTTAGTTACTTTGTAGTTCGCATAGATATATAATACATCAATATAAAATTTAGCTATCAAAATATGATAATTCATATAGAAACTGAAACTGCATAGAAATCTATAGATATGAGTAGATAAATATATTTAGACATAAATAATGAGAAGTGTGAATATATATTGATAATGATATATGAGAGACAGTAGATGGATTGGATAGATTGATATTGATTTACAAAAAGATATATGTGATATACATACGGAATGGAGAGATATTCACCGATATATATGGATCTCTGGATATGCTTTGATAGTGTTTAATTAATATTAATTATTTGTTGTAATTTGATCTCTCTAAAATCTTTCTCCACTTTTAAGGCGGCTCATAATTTATTTGAGGGCTTAGGTTTGGTTTCGAAGTGTTTTCGCCATTTCGGACTTTGCTCCACTTCCAGCGCGACAAATTTTAAACGTGTTTTTGTTTGTGTTTAGCATATACGAAAAACCTTTTGGTTTTTTCTTTTTTTTACATTTACATTTCTACTTTTTCCACTCTGCTTGGCTAGTTTTAGATTTACGTCCCTGTGCTCGAATTAATGTCCAGCTCCTTTGGCCAGCAACTGATCCACTTAATATCAAACTCAATTTACACCTGGAGCATTATTCATATGCAGTCACTTCGCCTTTTCCCCGCCACACGCCCTCTTTATATTTTTTATGAGCCTAATTCCATTGGCAACGCCCACCACTGAACGACAACGAGCGACGTGGTCCAGTTTAAGTCAGAGCCCACACCTTCTGGCCAAGTCTGGGCCAGCGGCAGTTACCAATGCAGTTAGAGTTGCTGGCAAAAACAACAACAACTCCACACGTGCCACATGTGCTGTCAAGTGCGCAGCAGAATAAGCAGCGAGCACGTCTTCGTCTCCCATTGTTGCGAGTTGCCAGTTGCCAGTTCTTGGTATTTTGTTGGTGTTGCTGCTGCTCGCTCGCAACAATTTGCTGCATCCACATTTACAGCTTAAGATAAAGTCGGCAATGAAGTGGAAGCTGGAGCTGGAGCCGACACCAGAGCTGAGGCTGAGGCGAAGGAGGAGGCTGAGCCAACCTTCAATGAGTGATGGCGACCTCAATGCCAGCCCCACGTTTTCAGAGGCTGTGGCTGCTTTTTTTTTCGGCTTCTCGGTCTTGGTCAAAGTTGGTTTGCTTGGAAAACCGCTTGGCAGCCTTGCAGAGCGGTTGTTGCTGTTGTAGTTGTTGTTGTTACTGGCATTGTACGTGCGGTTTTCCAAGTGGAAATCGTTGCGGTTGTAAATTTTGCAATCAAATAATTTTTCATTCGCTTTTTCCGACGCCAGCGCGCGACCTGATTTTTCTTTTCATTTTGGCCGCAGCAGCAGCAGCCGCCGTCGCTGCCACAGAGATGCATAAAAAAAGTGTTTGCCTGTTTCGGGTCTCCTCTCTTGGCCATTTGGTGTTTTAGCTGGCTGGAAAAACGTTTTGACCTTTGCCGCTTTGTTCGTGTTCGAACATTTAAACGGAAGTTGATTGCCGCCAAAGGTTAAACTCAATTTCCGTTAAAGCCAGCATCGGACTCAGTTCCAGCTCCAGCTCCAGCTCCAGCCTACGAGCCAGCCTCAGTTCGAAACACGTCTTTGGACCGTATTTGAAAGCCAAGTTAAGAACTCAATTTCTTAACAATTGGCAGCAGCTGTTCGAGGGGTTCTCGTTGACGGCTTGTTGCGCTTATTGTGGTTGCTCCAGCTTTAAGTAGTTGTTCGAGTTGAAAAGTTCAATTCACAAAGTTCACGAGAATTAAGAGCAAGAAATTTATGCCACTGTCTTTCTAAGCTTTTCTTGCAAATTATGTTTGTATGCGTGAAACATATACCACTATATCGACATATATCAATATATGTATATATAATGTCAATTCAATCACAACTCATTTATAATTACTTAACGGCTTTTCAAGTGCGCCCACCAGCTGACCGAGTTATTCGAAATAAAGAGCTTTCAGCTCAGGGTCATAAAATCACTCGCATGTCAAAAATTTGCACTAATTCATTCAAAATAACCGTTAATATCGCCCTACTCAAGCACACACATACACACACACACTAACAGTAACAGTAATTATAATGCCCACAGCAATCGTCCGAGCCCCAAATGTTTAACTCTCTGGCCATAATCTGAAAATCCCATTTACAAGCTCAAATTACAATAGAGGCGCATTGTTGGCTTTTGTTGTTCTTGTTGTTGTTGTAGTCGTTGTTGTTGTTGTTATTGTTGTCGTAGTGTGGCGCACCCACGCAATTTATGTCTGTGTGTATGTGCGTGTGCGTCTGTGTAGGTGTAGGTGCTGGGGCCATTCAAATGCAAAAAGAGCAGCGAACAACCGTTACAATGTGCCTCATTAAAACAAAAAATGAAAATAAAATAAACGAAAATGTTGAGTAGCCACAGCAACAACAATAAAACATTAGCAATAAAAAAAAAAAAATTAACTAGAAAAAATGTGTGACGCCCAGCTGAACAATAAAGAATCAGAATATCTGTAAAATATTTCACGCCAATCTCCTAGGCGCATCGCAAACGTCACTCAAATAAAATCAGGAACCTGACACATTATGAAAAATTCATTAAATCGAAATTGTTAGACATCGCATAGAAGAGTGAACAACCCATGGGCAGAAGTACACAATATACATACATATATACAATAAAATCCGAAAAATGTGAGTTCAAGATCTATAATATAAATGAATGTATATACAGATGTACATATACATATATAGATAGACATAGATGTAGGTATATAAATATAGATATATGTAGATATAAACAGAAATATTGATAAATGAAAAGATATGAGTCTCTAAATAGATTCTTGGATATCTATATAGAATGAGTTATGAATAGGGATAGATACTTTAGTAAAAGTCATATAGATATCATATGGTATTAATACATAGTCAGGTATAAGCCACGCTATCAAAAATGAGGTTATATATTAAATATGTATTTAGCTGGGTAACAATTACTATGTATTATTACTTATTCATAAATAAGAAATTAATTACTTTATAATATATAAAAAATGGTTTAGAATTACTGAAAATGCACGATTTATTAATAACAATATTTGTAGTTATTAATTTAATTAAATTGGTTTAGTTTATAGCAGTAGCTCGTATAATTTTGTTTTCTTGAATTTATTCCCTAATCGAGTTGGTTCTAGGTAATATTATTATATGTAGCTCAACATCATTAAATTTCTGACATTATTTGGATTTTACCTATACTATTTGCATAACAATAGATTCGTTTATTTTCTGCCTGTCAGGTGGAATTAATCCAATTTCAATTCAAACCTAGATATTGGAAGCCATTTTTCTTCGTTTTTTCTTCGTGTTTTTATTATTATTTTTTCTTTCTTTCTTCTTTTATTTGGTGTAAGTGCACGCAAAGTTGCGCTTGAGCTTGAGCTTTGGTCGAAGCTTCGTGGCAGCTTCGTCTCGGCTCTGCCGAACACGGAAGTATGTCAGCAGGTCTCTCGTGTAACGGTAGTTTGGCTGCTGCTGTTGCTGTTGCTGCCGCTGCCTCAGTCGCTGGCACGCTTAGCTGCGCATGCTTAGCTGACGCTAACGTCGCTGCCGCTGCCACAGCCACAGCACTGCCGCTGGCGCAGTCGCCGCTGTTGCCTCTTCTGCTGCTCTTTGTTGGCGCTTTGTAGTCGGAGCTAGCAACATGTTGCTTCGACAACCTGTTGAAAGCGAAATTGTCTCTCGCTCTCTCCCTCTCTCTTTCGCTCTTTCGCTCTTTCTCTCTCTCTGCCAGTCTATCTGGCGCTGACCAATACCAAACGAGTCTTGCTGTGAGCGAGTGAGTATATTGGCCAATTTGGCTCTATATGCTTTCTTCTTTCACACACACACACACACACACGGAACCATACATGAATGTGGCCAAGCCTCAAAAACTCAACTTAACTGTTTATGCACAAAATGAGAAAAAGTCTTTTATTTTTGTTGGCTCATTTGCTTTACCGTTCGTTCGGTTCTCCCAAAACTGAACTTCTTCACTCGCACCTCGCAATTGTAGTTGTTGTTGCTGTTGTTGTTAGAGTCTCGCAGTATTTCGGATTTTTTTTTTTTTTTATTCGATTGGCTCTTTGTATTGGTCTTGAATATTTTGTTGTGGCTGCTTTTTACTTTTTTGGAAATGGAGAGAGTGAGAGCAAAGGGGGAGGGTAGAGGAGGTAGACGCGTAGTCTGCACCTGTGTCGCACGATAGTTCTTGCTGTTGTTGTTGTTGTTGTTGCTGTACTTTCATTGTCGGTTCCTCATATCTTTGTCTGACTGTAGAGTCTATCCAAATACGATATGCCCGGCCCCTCGCTACACCCGCTCTCCCTCCTCGTCCATTAGCCGAGCTCAATATTCTGCTGCGTTTATTTCTACCAATTTATATGCTAATTTAACTGATTATTAATGTTGTGACCCAAATTCCATTTGGAAATTATTATTGGCCATTCGGGGTATCGATTTGTTTTTGTTGTTGTATCCCCCACTCTTCTCTATTTTTGGCCTGTCCGTCCGCCTCGTTATCTTGTCCCGAATGTCTCAACTCTGACTGCATTGGCATTTGGCGGCGTCTTCCCATGAGTAATCGTCGCGTTAAGTATGAAAAGCCCCGTGGAAATGTTTTGATATGCAGCCCAGTCGGACCCAAATGGACATCGATTCATTTTCGTTACGTTTAGAATACCTATCGAGATTTGTATTAAGCTCAGATTAGGGCTTGTTTGTCTGCCTTGGCGCTGCAAGCTGTCAGCAAGTGCCTCAGCTGCCGCTGCATGAGGCACCTGCAGATCCCAAAGATTCTATAAGACGGATTATAACATAACGGAAGTTGCTTGTAAGCTGAGCTTAGTTGAAGCCCGCTTAATGTGCATTTGGCCGCCACATTGATGAATATGCAAGAGCTAACTGAAAAAAATGTTTGGGAAAACAGTTACTCAACATATGAATGAATTATGAACCTTTTATTAAGATGAGCTGAGAGCAGCTGAATCTTAGACTTTGTAAACCAATCATGCTTGACTCTTAGAGCTTAGCTTATAGCTAGTATTCTGCATTTGGGAATAATATTTCGTTATAGTAAGAAATTATCATTGAATTCATTTATTTTATTTGCTCACACTTATATAATACTTGCTTAATGAATTTATAGAATAGTGTAAACTAATGTTAGCATATATTAATCTAAGCCAAAGACAGTAATATCTCCACAGTAAAGAACAGGTTCTGTGCTGCACAAAAGAATTGATTATATAGCATATTCATCTATATTCCATCGAGATTTAATCGCACCTACTAATTGGATCTTTGTCATCTTCTTGCATATACTTACAGCATCAACTGAACGAATATTCAATATTTTGCGCAAGAAGAAATACCAAAAATTTCTGTCCATCGCCTGGGTCAACTGACAATGAAGTTGTGCAGCATGAACGGGCCAAGTGAATCAGAAGTCGAAAGCCTACTGATGAGCCCCTGCTGGGGACCCACACAGACAAGCAGCCAGGATCAGTATCTGCTGGACGGACACAAGCTGCTGCTGGAGCACGACCTCGACTCGCTGCCGAGCGATGCGGATCAGAAGAACTCACTGGATGTGCTGGATAATCTGCTGTTGAATAGCTCCTCGCTGAATGCACTGTCCGACCTGAAGCCGCTGCCTCCGTTCACTGGCTACACCGGGCATCTGTCCATCAATGGCATCTCGGGGCATCACTATCACGCGATTGCCCAGCGGCTGCCCGACGAGAGCAATAACAACTACATACAGAGCGCCTACCAGCAACACCATCAGCATCAGCATCAACAGCAGCAACAGCACCAGCACCAACAGTCGAACAACAACAACAACAACAACAACAATCCGAATGCGAATCCCACGTCCACAACGGCAGCGACGACGACGTGCAGTGGGACAGGCGGGGTGGGCGGTGGCGGCGGGGGCGGCAGCGGAAGCTCCTCGCAGGAGCACAATATCGTATCCTCATCCACCTGCCTGCCTGAGAGCGTGCTCAGCGCGGATGCGGACGCCTGCCTCAACGATGTCAAGCTCTTTGCCGATAGTCAGTTAGATTCTAAGCTCTACTCCGTAGCGGACAGCTGTGTTATAAACGCCTCCAATCAGGGCGGCAATGGTGGAGGCGGAGGTGTCTCCTCGCTGGCCAGCAGCGGGTCGACGCTGACACCGATCGACCAGGTGGCCGACTCGCTGCACGGCAGCGGAGTGCGCATCTACAAGGATCTGACCGAGTATGTGGACATGAATAGCATCGATGACATCGCCGCGATCATTGGCTCGGCGATAGCGGACACCACGGTGCCCAATCAGCTGGACAAGGAGGAGGGTAACGACACGCGCGACAGCTGGATGGATCTGGATGCCTGGATCGATGGCAACTGCATTCAGCCCGAGGGCAAGGTGCTCGTCTCCCAGCAGGACACGCTCAGCGACTTCATGCTGCCCCACTCACCGCTGCCGGTGCATGCGAGCAGCTCCACGCTGCAGAGTCTACTCAGCCATGGCTACATGCCGCTGCTGCAGAATCGCCTGCAGCACGGACCACCTGGGTCGGGCAACGCCCCCGGCAGCGCCTCCTCGGCGGCAGCTAATGCGCTGAAGAGCGAGACGCCCAGTTCTACCTCATACTGCAACGAGCTGTCGGCAGCCAGCAGCAGCTGCAGTCCGCCGGGCTCGGTGGTCAGCACCACGGACAACAATCTGATGATCAATCCGCGCTATCTGACCAACAATCCCAATCCCAACCAGCAACTGCAGCAGCAGCAGCAGCAACAGCAGCAGGCAGCCTACCAGCTGACGCCCAATGGCCTCTCCGGCACTGGGCTGAAGGACGGCGGGCTGTGCAGTCCGGACATGCTGAGCAATTATCCGCATACGACGAGCACCACAAATGCGCCCACGGGCACGCCCAAGGCCAAGCGGTCCAGGGCACAGAAGAAGTCCAGCCAGCAGCAGCAACAGCAGCAGATCCAGGGCGACAACGGGGCGTCACAGCTGAACGCCATGTCGCCGTCGGGCGTGGCCAGTTTCAATGCCAGCGATCTGAGCGGGCTGCTGGGCAAGGAGAAGCCGGTGCATCGCTGCAGCATCTGCAATCGCGGCTTCCTGAACAAGTCAAACATCAAGGTGCACCTGCGCACGCACACGGGCGAGAAGCCCTTCCGCTGCGACGTGTGCGCCAAGGCCTTTCGCCAGAAGGCGCACTTGCTCAAACATCAACAGATACATAAGAGAATTGGGCGTGACTGACCGCGGCCATAATCACAACCCGCTCGCCACTAGCAACAGCCACTTCGATAGGCAGCAACTGTTTCTGCCCGCACAATTGAGCACAAAGTCGCTTCCGTGTGCTCTGCTCGAGAGAAAGTGCCCGCCAAAGCCACCCGCCCACCACACTCCACGCACCACTCCACGCACCGCACACCACAATCTCGGGCCGAACTGGCAACTGGATGTGTGCATGGATGGGTCTTTGGGTGCGGCAGCTTCTCGTGTATCGCATTGCTTGACCAAAACCACTGTGGATCGCCTCTCGGCGTTCCCAGACCGTTTGCCATCCTCCTGCTGCTGCCCCACTCACAGCTCACAGCAGCAGGGTGAAGCAATGCCATACACATAGCACTTGATATTCGTTGTTGTTGGTTGCTTTTGATCTCTTCGCCTCTTTTGGTAGTTAGTCCAATGAATCCGGTTATAGGTAGCATATGTAGTATACGGTCTAGCCAAAATATATCTAGATGAATTAAAGTTGCTTAATGACCATGAGAAATTTAATTATATTCTTATTTCACATTTTTATGGGGTTTCATATCAACCTACTACCTCTATAATGTTGTTGGCACACTCTGAAAAAATTATGGAAATTTTGGAAGCCTGATAAAAGCTGAAGAAATAAAGAAAAGGATTTTGAAAACAATAATTAGTCTTTATTGTTATGAAAATACTTAATACGAATCTGAAACAGAAAATTTATGAAATGTCATATTCACGAAAGGTTCTTATATAGCTAAAAATGAATCCCGATTATAGTAAATATTTGGTATATGTGAACAGTTCTTATAATGGATGCAGAACGCAGCAACTGTAGAAATTTCGTTATAGCAAATGGAAAATTATTTAACAGGCAATTTTTTGGAAATCTATATTTTAGTTTATATAAAACAAATTTTAAAATGCCCCAGGCAAAGAGACCACAAGCAATGTAAGAACAACGAAGCGTCCAATTGTCTTTTTGCAACTGTTGTTCTGTTTTGATGCAATCCTGCGTGCTTCGAGCACCTAAGGCCCTGGCACAGGTATACATTATATAATAATAATAATGCATAGGGTTACGAACGTAGCTAGAATTTAGTTAAACTCTAGCCGAATGTATGTTAAGTAATTGCATAAATAAGATGATTTGTATGTACCTCAAGAAGAAGATAAAAAGAAAAACAATAGAAGCAATACAATTATAAATTACAGTAATAATAATAATACTAAGTAAATGTACAAATCAAACAAAAAAAATATATATAAACATATATTTATACATACATATATATATATATGATTCATAAGTATAGCGGGCTTGGCAAAATAACAATATATGTTAATATGAAATCATAAAATAAAAAAAAAAAAAAAAAAAAAAAAAATGGAAAATTAAATAAAAACATAAAAAGCAAAATGAAATGCAAATTAATTATGAAATAGTAAAGTACTCAAGTAATACATTTTATTACACCTACATTTAAATGTTGTTAATTTGTTTTTTAATCAATTTGTTGTTAAACGTTACAATTAAATGGAAAATCAAAACATATGTCCAATAAATCATATTCTAAATATATTTATTCTCTTGTGCGCAAATCTTGAAAATATTTATGCCTGCAAAACCTTAGCACACATAAATAAATAATATGATAAATAAAATATTGTTGAAGCTATTTATTTAAGCAAACAAAACAAAAGAGCATAAGAAAAATTAATAAAAAAAGAAATAAAATAAAATATAATTAAATACAAATAATTATTTATAACTTAATCCATATTTAATGTTATTTTAGTTTTGTGCAATTTATTTATTCAAGTTGAAATTCCGTTTGTACTTCTAAACACAATTCGATTGTAAATATTTATTTTGTCTAATGTTTAATGTTTATCTAACTAGAAATACAAAATTTTGTCATTTTAAATGTACAAAAATAATATAATATTTCAAAACAGAAAACGATTCGTTTATTCCACATCAAGTATACGCCGTATGGCACTGCACATGGGTAAGGGCACACACACACACACACACACACGCATACGAATGCAGCTCAAGTTAGTCCCGTTCGAGTGGTTCTTCTTGGCGTCCGCATTGCTTATGCCGCACGCATCGCGGAGGAACCTGACACGCCAGCCAGCCAGAGTGTGCCAGCAGCAGAGTAGGTGCGAGCAGCTATGGTAAAATATGCAGTCGAAGACAACGACAAAAAGAGCAAAGAAAGAAACAAGAAAAAAAAAGCGAAGCAAAGCAAACCAAACCAAGTCAATCCCAGTCGAGTCAGAATCATTATATTGACCACAAATGCCGCCGCCACGAAAGCAATGCAAAGAGTAAAGAGCCAAAGGCAAAGCCCACACAGATACACACACACACACACACACTTACATACACACAGATAGAGATGGAGCGACAGAGCACGGCACCAATACAGCAACAAAATGCCATGCATACTGTGCCACTGACCCAATTTCCAGACTCGTTTTTTTCCATCGAGAGAACCGCACGAAGCATGAGCAGCGGCAGCGACTGTGGCAGCCACAACGGATTTGAAATGTTAACTGGGAGCGCGGCAATAAGATACAAAGATACTTTGCCCGGTCGCATGCTCTTTCACCGCAGAGACGCAGGCCCAGACGCAGACACAGACACAGAAAGAGCTCAAGCTTCAGTTCCAGCTATACGAGTCTGGAGTTTGTTTGCATCGCATCGCATCGTATCCGCATTTCTATGCTGTCTTTGTATATTTGTCTTGGCTTGGCTTCGTTTGGGTTTGCTGCTGCTGCTGCTGCATGTATCTGTAACTCGTTTCTGTATCTTGCGCCTCGTATCTGTGGCACTTAAATTTATGCAACATCATGGCAGTGTCGCTGACTCCTCAGAGCCCCCTCTCTTGTATAGAGTCCACGTTTTGTTCTAATCAAAATGTGCTACGTGCTCAGCTCGGCGCCCGTGTCAAAGGTCAGCGCTTAAATATTAACAACTGGCCAACATCAAATCCAAATCCAAATCCGTATCCGAATTCAAATTCTGATTTGAAACCAATTTCAAACAACAAATTAGCAATCGCATCTGCCGCAATTCGTTGAGCTGGGCAGCATCTTTCTCTCATCTGTTCATTTCTCTTTATTTTTGGCGTTTTTAATTGAGTTTGTTGTATTCCCATTAAATGTAATTTTCTACCCATTCGCTTTGGCTTAGTGCCCATCTTAGTCGCTGGCCGAGCACGACCCACTTTCTGGCCAAGATTTCGACTGGCTATCCCACAAGCCAGCCAAGTCATTTGCGACATTTATGGCCATCAATGAGCGTGGGTGCTATTACCCAGCTGCGCTAAGTCAGCTGTCACAGAGTGATATGTTTATATATCTAAATAATTGGACAAACTGTGACTCAGATAATAATCGCGATATGGAGCAGCTGAACAGCATGGCAGATCGTGCATAATGTTAATAAAAGAACTGGTAAATCATATAACTAGGAGGTGAATCAGGGGCAAATATCAAGTACTCAGATATCCTAAATGCTGGAATATTCTTCATCTTATGTCTCATTTTGCATATAACATGCCCACAATTCTATGTTAAATGAATATAATTAACATTGCTTGATCAATTCTAGTTAATTAGTAAATAGTATAGCCGACTTTTACCTTTTACACAGCATACATAAATCTAATTAATATCTATTGATATATTGAATGCATAATTATAATATTATATTATATTTCTAAGATCTGAAACACCAACTTCAATAAATTATAAGAAATATACAAGACTAAGTAACTTGTCAAAACTTATATTGTATACACGATGATTAATGCAACAAATTCGTAATAACAATTGTAAAAAAGTTTTAGAATACACGACATGGAATTACCCTCTAAAAAAGCTTCGCACAGCCAAGAAACACGTTTAAAAACAGATACTAGATTTCACTTATTCTAAGAGAACCTCTAGATAAAGTTTTGAAATATATACCTATGTCCATATATATTATATATGTACTATATATTATTTTTGATGCCACAAATGAAAACTTGTGGTCTTAGGAAGCTATATACTTCTAACAGTATAATGGAAGTCGAAAAATGTTGAATTCATGGAGAGATATATGTATGTATGTATGGAGTCAGATATAGAGATGAGTGAACCTAAATGTACAGTCCGCTGTCGATGTCCGCATTCATTCAAATATCATAGGGCTCTATGATATAACTATCTCAATCAGAAGTATAGAAATCGTAGATAATTTCGTCAAAAAAAGTGTATATAATAGGTTTCCTCAAATAATCTCAATACGAATTATCTGTTCTGGTCTGAAGACAAATGTGGTCATTCCTGCTCTAGCTCATCTTAGGCATATGAAGTTTTACAGGGTATCTGAAACAAAGCCAAAGCCAGCCAACGCCTTTCGCCTGCTGCTGTTGCTTTTTTTTGTTGCTGCTGTCTCCAGTTGACAAAAAATAGAGACAGCGCGACAGTCGAACGACTGGACAGAGAGACATTACAATAAAGTTAGCAAAATGGCAATGGCGACGCCTATGTCGCAGTCGCCGTCGCCGTCGCAGTCGCAGTTAACTTTGTCGCATATTGTCCAGCAGTTGTAACTGTTGCTGATGTTGCTGTTGTTTTTGTTGTAGCTGTTGTAGCTGTTGTAGCTGCTGCTGCTGCTGCTGCCGCTGCCGTGGCGCAGTTAAAGACACAATGACCTTGGGTGAAAGTTGCTCTCCATTTCTATTTTGTGCTTTGCTGTTGTTGCTGTTGAAATTGTTGTTGTTATTGTTGCTATTTACTAGTTGTTGGCATGCCATTTTCATATACACATCTCTCGGTGCGCCTGTGTGCGTGTGTTGATATTTATTGTTATATTTATTCTTGTCACCGTTGTTTGTGTCTCTATCTGCGCGTATATTTGCTTTGAATGCTTTTGCTGCTCCCCTTTGGCTTTGTCTTTTTACACTCAACATGATTTGTTTGTTTGTGTTGTTGTATTTTGATTTATCTCTGCTGTTGTTGCCGTTGCTGTTGCTGTTATTTTGATTACTTTTGCTCTTGATTGAGGTGGCTTTGATGGATGCACATGAAAAGTTCGACAACAAGCTGGCGCTGAAACAGAAACAGAAACACAAACACAAACACAGAAACAGAACGGAAGTGGCTCGCGTGCAGGAAATAGAAACGAGGCAGAAGGCAGAGGCGATGGCGAAGGCGAAGGCGACGGTGGAGTAGGTGAGAAAAGGCCAAAATAGAATTAAGCAATTGCTTACAGCGATCCAAGATTTTGGCCAACCACACACTACACACACACACATACACACACAAATATATAAACGAAATATTTATAATTTATGCGCTCGGCTTTTCCATTGAATTGTCGAAGCATAAGAAAATCAAAAGAATTATAAACTTCAAGTTTGGCGTCGATTTTGCAATGCGCAGCGGCGTCTTCACGCCTCGTCGGCCAGCTGACCAAGATTCTAGGCAGAATAAATCATGGCTATAATTACGTTATATTATATTAATATTTAAGCACTGTGCCAGTTTTTGGCCTCTTGTTTTTGCTCCAACTCCAACGCCAACATCGCCAACTCTAAACTTTAATTAACTGCAAAAGCAAACAGTGCACAACGAGAATCTTACGAAATACCCAATTACACTGCATTTTTTCTACTATAACATATTATATTAATTATATTCGACTTAAATTAAGCTTAAATAAAATTCAATGTACATTTCCAAAAAAGAGTATAAACTTAAAAAGGTTATATTTTTTCAGTAAGTGCGAATTGTTGATAAGTAAATAGATAAGTCTGACCTCCCTAGCTATCAAGAATTCAAACCATAAAATAATTCAAGCATTCCAGTTTCTCTTTAACAGATCCCAACTTAAAAGTCTTGTTAATCCACTCCGATTCCAGCTAACCTAAACATACTTTGTTGATTGGATATATTTTTGATAAATAATTAAATTTGACTTATTAAAAACATATTTCTGGAATATAAATAATATAAATAAATTTATCAAACTATCATCAATAGCATCAATTTATATATTTTGTATTTACTATTTTATTAAATTTAAATTCAATTTATTTGAACTTTCCTATTTTAGTTTTTAGTACAGGCTCCCTTGAAGCTTAAGTAAATGATTCATTTCTATATGCTTTGCTTTTTAATTTGAAATTAATTTTTATTTAAGTTCGTGTTGCATTTTAATGGCACACACACGTTGGCCTCAAAGCCAACTGAGAACGGTTAAAGCCGAAAAGTGCGACGCGACTGCAATTAATTTACTTATAATGCATCATTCTGAAAGCAGACGATTGCCAACAACAGCAAAAGCAACACCAGCACCAACAACACCAACAATAGCAGCAACAACCGCCGACAACTGTCTGCCAAACTGTGGCACGGGATCTAGTCAACAAATTGGTTTGGTTAGGTGGGAGGGGTGTGTGCGAGTGTGCGGGGCTAGGAGAGACGCCTGCTGGCGCTGTTGGTCAGCGACAAGTGACCTCATTTTTATTGGAACCTCGCGGCAAGTTGCGTGGCCGCAGCCAGCAATACGTGCCTGTGGTTGTTGTTGCTTGTTCTACTTTGAAATTTCACTTTTCAAATGTGAATGTGAATGTGTGTCTGTGTGTGTCTATAGAAGAAATAAATATAATTAATAAACTAAATAAAAGTGAGGCGAGCATTTTTGTGCGTGCGCTATTCAACAAACAAAAATTTATTCCACGCTTTGGCTCGACCAAGATGCACTGTCAATGCAATGCAAGTTTGTTGCTTCAGTCTTTGGTATTGAAATGCAGCCACGAAATATGTCGAAAATATTAAGGCAGAGGGCAAACGAACAGCAATCACAACAACAAGCAGCAGACAACAAAAACAACACTGAAAAATTTAACCTCAAACTTCAAAGTGTCACTGTCATGGCCCTTTTTACTACACACAGCGACTTTGGCTGTGGCTGCTGCTGCTGCTGCTGCGTTGCAGCGGCAACCTCGTCGACCATCGTCGCTATATAACCTGTTGGCAATTCAGTTTATGACTTTTTGCGCCGCACACTGTGTCCAAGCAAACAAACTAAACCGGCTAGCGGCAGTTTATGGCAAGCTGAAGCTTTCACCGTGACTGCGGCCCACTGTGCACTGCTGCTGCGACGTCGACATCGCACGTATTGCCACGAAAAGTGGGTCAACATGAAACGAGCCAGAAATGTAGAAAAAAAACTGAAGAAAAAACAACAAAACACAGCACTAACAAAAGCAACAACAACTAAAAAGCAAATCACGCTGACGAGCTGGCTCAAGACTGGGTCTGCTTGTCGCTGCTGCTGCTGCTGCTGCGAAAGAAAGCATAAAAGCTGCTTGGCGTGAGAGAGATGGTAATAGATGCTGAGCAACTTGCGCTGTAAATTAATTTTTTTTTTTTTTGTGGGCTTGGCTTTTTGGAATTTATGTGACGTTTTCATCTAGTTGAAAATATATGGAACGCTGTCTTAACATTCAGTCACCAACGTATAATAAATACAATATTATAACAACACAACTATTCTGTCTAAAAAATATATGAAAAGATTCGAATATAAATAAAAACAATTTAAATTCTTCATTTAAAGGGCGCCACAGTCAGAAAGCGCCACCTATTACTCATATTTCACATAAACAATAGTGCTGGTTAACAGCGCAATGGTATGTTTTTCACAGTGGTACCTTGCGATAATTTATCGACAAGCCGCCACAATCTGTCGCCGATAGTCTTGCTGGTCTGAAATTCTTTTTTGTTTATACTTGAAAAGCATTAGTTGCTTTGTAAAATTAAAATATGTTGAATGGGCAAATTACACACAGCTATGTGGGTAACACGTGCAGCGTGGTGATACCACATCCACATGTCAAGGAAAAAGCAAAGTCCACGCCATCACCTGATGAAGCAGAGGCCTGTTGTGAGAGAGGGGCTGAGGCATTGGTGGACTCGGGGGCGACGGCATCAGCGGAGGCAACGGGTGCTACGGTACATGTGAATTTGGATCGCATAAGGAACGTCGATATCTTTATTGGCGACAACGATTTGTATTTTTATGCCGATGTCAAGCTATACAAGTGAGTCATGCAACATATAATTGAAGCAATCACAATTATCACAATCTTCTACGCAGATTCCACAGTCGTCGCACTTTCGACTTAAGGGGATTGAAAACGTTGGTCATCAAATATGACACGAATGAGAATTGCTACCAGCTGTGTCTGCGCTGCCTTCCGCCCGTTGCCATTCCAGGTAGTGGCCGCGCAGCTGGCAGCGCCGTGACGCCAAAACCAAAGACAGCACGCAAGGAGTATATAGCCGCATTTCTTAACCTACCCACACTGGCAGACACCTTGCAGGACAAGGAGCCGCTGGTGCACGAGTGGAAACTGAAGCGCATCACCGATCAGTGCCAATTACAGCTCGATGCCCACGAACGTACCTATAAGCTGACTAACAATTTTCGCTATGGGTATGCTAGTGGCTACAGCGGTCCATTGCAGACAAGCGAGGTAAGTGCTGTATGATGTATGTTGTAGTATTATATAAGTTGATCATCAATTATGGCATTCCAGCTGGATAAGTCGACATGTCGTGTTCCTGAGCCAGAGCGACTCAGTCCCTTGCAACGACGTCTGGAACGCATTAGCGATGAGATGAAACGCTTTTCGCGCGACCAGTACAAAATGAACTTTGTGGAACTGCAGGTTCCAGCCGGACATCAGAATCCATTGCGCTTTAAGCCCAAAATCCATGAAACGTCCATGACACAGGAGCAGGCTCACTTGCTGCATAATCTTTGTAGCCGCACAGCCGCGACTAAAAACTCCACATCAACGGTCTCTTCACAGTCCATAAACCAGCCCGAGCGGCGCGTGCAGAACGAAATCGACTGCGGTCTAATCAGCATTGTGTTGGCTATATGCTATGATGTGCGCACCACCAACAACGAACCGACCTGTGAGTCGGGCTGGACGCGCAGCATATTGTGTCCATTGTTCTGCTACTTTGAGCAGTTCGACAACTATCGAGATGTTCTGATAGCGTTTCTGCGTCGTGTGATCACATATCCGTTGTATCGCAATTTCGAACTGGGTCGCCAGTGCATTAGGGATGCCATTGAAGTACTGAGGGGTGGTCGCAACTGGCTGATCAATCAGCTGTTGCTGACCCACCTGCAGTTCGCCAGCGGCGAGCCATGTCGCGAAAGCTTCAACAACTATTATCTGGAGGACTATATACGATATGTCTGCAACGCGACAGCATGCAGCGATGAGCATCTGCGTCTATTAGCACGCAATGTCAAGAATGTGCTAATGGATGTGACCAAACGCCAATTGGATCTGGGTATCATTGAAATTGAGACTGAACTGATCCAGGAGCTAATGCAGGAGATGCGCATCGATGCTGGCAGTGGCAGCGAATCGCCGTCACAGCACCAGAGTAATATTGCTGATGATGATGTATTAGACACGGATGAAGCATCCGGGCTAGAGGATGATACAACGACCGACGATGATAGCGTAATTACTGACTCGTTCGATAGCATGGACTTGCGTTTGATTGAGAACGATGTCTATGCCGTCGACGAGGAGAACGAGGGAGATGTCGATGATGGCGAAGAGGATCACTCAGAAGTTGAAGAGGAGGACCACGAAAGTAACTCATCAACCACCACCACCAGCGATGCTGAGGGCAACAGCGTCATCGAGCAGTGCACCAGCAACAGTGAAGCTGCCGCCAGCATCAGTGCCAGTGCCAGTGCCAGTGCTAGCACTAGCACCAAGTAGAAATTGCCAACGTTCGAGTTGTCAGTCCTGCCATGCCTAAACCAACCAATCAACCAACAAACTTAATGTCAAAGAACGGAGGCTAAACAGTGATTACTTTTATGCAAACCGAAATGTGAAAGTAAAATTAAAAAATTGAAAACAGAAATCAAAAACAAAAGCAAAAAAAAAAACGAAAAACAAAAAAGGCAAATTGTAAATTTTAACGAAAACGAAAAACCTATTTAAATATTTATGTGTATGAGAATTTTAAAGTAAATACACACAAAGAATGGTTCATGCCACACGCAATTCAATATTTGCATATACATACATATACATATATACATTTTTGTTCTATTTTTGCTCTATCATAGTTCTTTCTTAAACATACATCAAGAAACTTAGCATTTAGCGTGACATAAGCTTACGAAATTTGAATTTTGAATTCTTCAAACCAAAATCTAGTTGTGCATTTTGTATATACATACATAAATACATACATATATAAATATATATATTTATATATATACACATACATATACATACAATTAAGAATATATGTTGTTGGTGCTGCAAGCATATTGAAATAAAATATCGAAAGAAAAAAAACTTAAGAGGCAAAGTCATCTAAAAGTTCCCAGTTAATGTTGTATAAATGTCACAAAAGTCATGGCCAAACAAATGTAATAATAATAATAATATATATATATATATATATTTTTCTTAATATTTTATCTAGCATTTTCAATGTCAAACCAGCCGAGATGAAGTTTGGCATAAAACAAAAATAATAATTTACTGAAAATGTGATTTTTAACCTAATGGATATGGAAATTCTGCAAATATTTTGCAAGTTTTAATTTCTCTAACTGCAAACAATAAAGAACTATTAAAATATAATTCAAGCAGATGATAAACTTTGGGTTTGATATGGAGTTTTATAAGGCAGTCTCGTTTTTGCTAGTGATATTAATTCGAACTTTCTGGAATTCGGATTTCCAGAAACTTATCGATATGTAGGTGCCATATAATATAATATTCAGCTGTTGTTAAGCAAGTTTCTGGAAATCAGAATTCCAGAAAGTTCGAACTCCGATTGAAACAGACAAGACAATGGGTAGACAGTTCCATAGGCAGTCAGGGCAGGAAAAATAAATATAATGCCTAATATTCTGGAACAATCTTGAGTCAAATGAGATCAAATAAGAACGCTTTAACAATAATTTGTAATATTTTATTTATTCATAAGTTTGCATATCTCTGTACGTTTACAAGCTAATATTTAAATATTTATGGACTGTTACTTGAAGAACTGCTGGTGTTCGTTCTTAAATTATGGTATATGTACGTATGTAAAGCTAAAATTTACAAGTTAAACTAACTAGGCATTTAGAAATCGCTAGAAGAATTTGCGTAAACACAAACATTTCGCACGCCCCAGGCGAGGCCAATTGGTTTCTTGGACTTTGTCAGTTTTCCGATTTCATTATTCGGTTCTCAGTTTTCCGTTATTCTCTTCTATTTCTCTATATACACAAGTTACAATTGTTTAACAACGAAAAATGTTTTTAGTTCATTTAAAAGAGCTCTTAAACACTACATACAACATGGCGGCCATTTTAGTGTGTGGACATCCTTTAGATCCTGCGCCGGGGAATGGAAAATCATATTCATATCATCATAATCTTTTCTTTCTTTTACTGACACTGAGTTTTGAGTTTTTTGAAGTATTTACAAGAACATTGTTCTAAGCTAGTTTTGGGTGCGTTGAGTATTGCCTCTCTCATCTGAACGACCCGTTACAGATCTGCAAGTGGGTAAGAGTCAATTATATAGATATATGTATAAGAGCACAGTCGAGACACCATTGACACTTACTCATTGTCTCCTGCTGTATCTCTACTTTGTACGAGGGATTGTCGTAGGCAGCATCGCTCTTACGCGGCGGTGTTATCGATGCCGTCTGATGCACTCGTCTCCTGGTTATGATCAGCAGCAGTGCGAGCGTCGACATTATCGCCAGGGCGGCAATCACGGAGACGACGACAAGTGGACCGTAATAATCACCCACTGGTTGATCAGAGACGCCTGCAGTCAATAATTTGCCTGCATGAGAGAGAAAGAGATAGGAGTAGATGAATAATTAATGAGGGCCTCTTCATGTATGTTCTCATTAACTAAATATAATCATGATCTATAGCAGAGCAATCAAAACAAAGTGAAGGTATACATATATATTTTTTCTTCTAATGACTTAAAGAAGGCATTCAAGCATTACCCAGATTCTTAAAACTCAAATAGATCCTTTCAAGAATACGCAAGACTTGAAATTGAAGAAACTCATCTTAGCTAAATTTACATTATATATAAACCACAATTCCTACCTGTTTTGCCTGGCGTCGCAGGACCACCCGGCTTGGTTATGAAGTTGACCACGTTGCTCTTCTTGGTGTTGCCATTGGTGAGGTACATCTCCAGCCAGAGGCGATATTTGGTGCCCGGCTTGAGGTCCATGATCAGAGTGCCTGTTGTGCTGTCCCGCTTGGCTACCTTGAAGACGCTCGAATCCTCCTTGCCGGCATCGCTCTGATAGATGGCGCGATAGATATGCACGAACTTGTCCTCCGGGTAGGGTACACCATTCCAGGAAATTTCCACGCTCTGCGACTTCACCTTGGTGACATTGACCATCACATCGAAGCCATAGACATCCGTTTTGGGTGCTGTGCGCACCTTGATCATATGTCCGGCCAGTAGCTCGGCCCCATGGCCGGCGAATGGAATGTAGTAGAGTCCGATTTCGTAGCCCGTATCCGGCTGCAGATTCTGTATGGTGTAGCTGGTGAGGGTGCGGTGTATCAAAGGCGAGGAAGAATAGATCATGCCCGTTAGCTCCTTGTAGCGCAGCTGGACTCCATCGACATACTCCATCTGGTCGTCGCCCAGTTTCTTCCAGGTCAGCTGAAGCCAGGTGGCGTTCGTTTCGCTCACATTCAGCTCGGGATCCTCCACGGTCTTGAATATGTCCTGGAAGTCTGGTCTGTAGTCAGAGATCTGTGGCGGCGGCGTTATCGTCCTCTCAGCTGGCATCTTAACCGTGAAGACTCTGCTCGTGGGCTGCGAGTTGAGATCGCGCAGAATCAGCGTAATCTTCACCTTGTACAACGAGTTGGGCTCTAGGCCAGGCAAATCGAACTCCATTTGTGAAGTGGCAATCAGATCTTCGGGCGGTGCAAATATCTGCTGCTCCCAGCTAGACGTATCGTTGCTCGGTCCATTGGTGTAGCGCAGCTCCACGCGTCCATGGAGATTCACATAGACCTGGGGCACCGTGAACACAATGCGAATGGTTCGTGGATCGATGGCCTCCAGAGTGTGCACTTCGATATCGGGCTGCAGGTTGTTGAAGCCTGGAAAAGGTATAAGAGCATTGAATATTTTGATTTAGGATCTCCAAATTGAGTTTGAGCACTACTACAGATTCCTAGCTCCAATTCCAAGAAAATATATTTCCAAAATATTTGATTTTATTCATGTATAAATTTGACTTCTAATTGGAATTGGTACTGAGAATAGCTTTCGATCGATTCTCGCTCATTTCTAGGCAGAAATTGTGATTAGTTTAGGTTAAAATCTAAGAAGCTCAACAATGATGTGGATGACTGGTGATGAGTATATATATATATATGTGTGTATGTGTGTGCATGTATGTGTGTGGTGGTTGAAGTAGTCTCAGTTAGTACAGTAGAACCCTGTCATTGTGTATATCAGTATAGCAGTGTCCATACGGCATGAAGAGAGACTAGAGTAAGCTAAGAAGGATGTGACTAGAATAGAGTAGAATCTCAACCTGCTTGTTGCGTGGGCACCTTGTCCGGGCCCTGGCTCTGACTCTGGCTCTGGCTCTGGCTCGGACTGTGATGCAGGCTGTGCTCGCTGGCCTGTGTGGACAGACCAGAGCTGGTGCTAGAGCTGGGCGCAATGCTAGGCAATTGCTGCAATGATTCGTGTTGTTGCTTTAGCTGCTGTTGTTGTTGATGTTGCTGTTGGGAATGTTGCTGTTGGGGATGTTGCTGCTGGGGATGTTGCAATGCTGGTGGCACGCCCAAACCGGGTATCAAGGGATAGCTCTCATAGGCCACGGGCTGGCCATCGACTATAGCAATGCCATGGGGCGGCGGCGGTGGTGGCACCCCACTGTGCACTATGGGCACATAATGAGGAGGCAGAGGTCTTTGTTGTTGCTGCTGCTGCTGCTGTTGTTGCGGCTGCTGAGGTGTGGATCCTGGTCCGCCTGGCACGCTTTGCTGCAAGTGCTGCAATATTTGCTCGATTCTCACATGTGAAGGCAGATTGTGGTTGTCCTTCTGGGGCAATGTCTGACCCGGATGACCAGGCTGTTCAGCACCCAGAATATTGAACAGATCCGATTGACTAGTCGGTACCGGCGGCGGCTTGCCCTGTGGTATGCCGTTCGGATTAATGTCGTATGGCTCGTAGGGATTGTACGCATCATAGGCAGGCTTTGCCGGATTGTAGAAGCCATAGGGTCCCAGCTGTTGCTGATGCTGTTGCTGCTGTTGATAGTCGTTATAGTGTCCGCCCAGCTGCAGTGGCACATAGCCGCCTCCTGGTGCCAATGGTGCTCCATTGTTCACAACGTCTTCCTGCGGATCCTCATGCACATCGTACTTAATGTCATTTTGCTGTTGCTGTTGCTGCTGCTGCTGCTCGTGTTGCTGCTGTTGCTGTTGCTGTTGCTGTTGCTGTTGCTGTTGCTGGACCTTCTTGTGGTGTTTGTCATGTTTCTCAAAGACACCAGCAGCTGTCTTTGGCGGCTTGCCGTCCAGTGTGGGATAGAAGGCGGCCAGTTGAGATTTCTTCTCATGCTCAACATCCGTTGGCTTCTCAGGCCACACTTTGTTAGTTGTTGTTGCTGTCGTTGTCGTTGTTGTCGATGTTGATGTTGTTTCTGATATTGGTTGCATGTTGAATGGTATTTTAATTATTTACAAATGCATAGCGTTATTTTTGTTCAATTTTTTTTTTCAGAAGCATTGAAAATAATTGTATATATTTAGATATAGTAAAATAGCACGCCATAAAAAATAAAAAAAACATAAACAGCAGAAGAGAGAAAAGAGAAGGCAAGTTAAATAGCAAAAGCAGTCAAAATCATAATGGAATAGTAATGCTTGGAAATCGTGCGAGAAAGATGAACGATATAAATGAATATGCTTTGAGAGATGTTTGATAACGAGCTCGGCAATTGTTCTCCAATTTCAATTTTCGATTGACGTGAATATCTAGTTTACACCACAGCATTAATTAGAGCATTAATACAGTTCATGATGTTGTGTAAACGTGGCTTAAGGCCCTTTGGCAAATTTCAATTGGACTTTTGCATGCAATAAACGAGATGAAATTGTTTCATGCATTCCCTAACCATATTTACCAGGTGTCATTGAGGGCTGGGTGGTCGGTTGCTTTTGCTGATCTTGCTGAGTCTCCTCCTCCTGCCCAGCGGCACCGAGCTTCGGTGCCAGCGGAGCGCAGGCCCAGTGCTTGCAGCACTCGTCGTCGGGTATGGGCAGCAGACGCGCCTGAGCCGGATGGCAAGGCAGGTCAGCGGGTGGCAGGGCCAACACGGGTGGACATGCCGGACGGCACTCCACCTTGCCGTTCTCGCAGTAGCAGTGCTTCTCGCAACCTTCGGGGTAGGCACGAATGTATGACTGATTGTATGAGCCTGTCTGTGTTGATTGCCACTTACCCGTCAGGTTGGTCGGAATGGGTGCCCAGTTCTCAAACTCCATGCCTTGATAGGTGCAGGTGCCGTTGTCTACACAGCGCATGCTCTCTGGACAGCAGTGCGGCGCCACTGGCTTAAAGTCCGCCGGCACCGGCTCCCAGCGTATGCACAGTGGATTGAGCACGTCCAGGCCGAAGGTGGAGGGGCACTCCACCTTGGCGCAGTGCACGCCCTGCTCATTGCAGATGCAGAGCTGCTCACAGCCGTCGCGGAACTGCTGTCCCAGATCATAATGTACGCCCTTGAAGCTGCATTGGGGCGTGGCACCGCCAGCATCGCGTGCCTGCTCCTCCAAGCCAAAGCTGCGCTCCTGCTCGTGCTCATCTCCAATGCTGTTCAGACCGCCATGCAACGTGGGTGACAGCGGCTGCTGTTGCTCGTGATCGTCCAGGGTAACATCGCACAGCTCCAGCTGACAGCAGACGTCCTTCGGATCCTTGACATAGACACACTTGTCGGCGCGCGTATGATTGCGCTCCGGGCAACGTGGCCGACAGTTCATGATGCCTCCCTCATCGCAGTGGCAGATCTGTGCGCATCCAATCTCCAGGCGCTCGCGGAACTTGTAGATGCCGCCCTCGTAGTGGCAGTCGCTGCGTGGCTTGGGCGTGCCTTCTAGTTATAAGTGTATGTGTATGGAGGAGGTTTATGTGTGTATGCATGTATGTGTGTGTGTGGGTTTATGGTGTTTATGGAAAGCATAAAAAACATGACGTTAAAGCATGGACTGGCATAGGCTGTCAAGCAGGAAGTTCTAAGCCATAGCAAAAGCTTTCTCTGCATCTGCTGACTCCAATTGGAACTGGACTCACCTTCATTCTGCTCGGCAGCAACAACAACTGGCATGCCAGCCAGGTCGGCGGTGGCTACACTGGGCTCTAGCAGTGGCTCCACACACTCCATCGTCCGACAGCATTCGTCCTCCTCCACAATGCGCTCGTGACAGTGCGGATTCGCCATGGTGCGTTGGCTGCCGCGCGGATAGCTGGAACCCTTGCAACGAGGCTCGCATATCCACTCGCCGCGGTTGCAGGTGCAGCGCTCATCGCAGTCCCGTTCCATGCTCTCGCCATGCTAAGGTAGCCAAAGAGAAATTACAAATTAAGCACTAGACTTGAGATCGATGAAGTAGGCTGTGGGCTTATATGTTGGGAAATGTTGTATAATTAATTTATTTATTAGAGATTCGAATTTGTCTAAAATGAAGACTAACTTAAGAATTAAGCAATGGCAAAAATATTAAGTGTTATAACTTAAAGTGAAAAGAGAATTTGTCTTAGCTGAATATATGGGAGGTATGGTGAACTATTTGAGTTGTTGTTTCAAGTAGGGTTTAACTATCTCTCTCTCTCTCTCTCTCTCTCTCTCTCTCTCTCTCTCTCTCTCTCTCTCTCTCTCTCTCTCTCTCTCTCTCTCTCTCTCTCTCTCTCTGCCTAATCAAACAATGTTTAGGCACTTAGAAGAAGCATGACAGACTGATGTCTCCGGAATCCAACTTATTTTATATGTTCTCGAAATATGTAAGTATAGCATCTGCAGGAGTTTATTTATAACTGAACTCAAAGAATCAGCAATAATTAAATAAGATAACAAGTTCAGTAAGACTCAAAAATATTACAGAGATTATCATAAGTGAATCCAAGTCCAAGTCATAAGTCAATCCAAATGATTAACCTCAATTTAATTTTGATGTGACTATCTGTTATTCTCGAAATGTTTTGTACAAATGATGCCGCCAAACGAGTTCCATTTGCTCAGTCGCATTCGAGTTATTCGAGTTTACTGCCGCAGCTTTCGCTGCTCAAAAAATCTCACCGGCAATAAGTAGCTAGTTATTTGTAGTGAGTGCCTTAGAACTGTGACCCAATTGACAGCTAATGACAATAGATTCAGTTGCTCCGCTTTGGCGAATTCGATCATGAAAGGCGGCTGAAGCTATTTGCGCAGAAATTGCGTCAATTCGCTTGGCGAATTGTGCGGGACGCTCATCAATCATTTGTTCATTTGTTCAATTGTCGACGGCTCAACTGGTTGGGCGCTGAATGAAAATTGGTAAGCATTTCCTGCTTGACTTTGGGGTCTGAGTGCACCAATAAGCAGACATGTCAAAGCGCGGCTCAGACTAGTTTATGGCGCGACCCACACGCGCCAGCTAGACAAAGATTGAAATCGAGTTTGTTGCTTGAGTCTTTTGTATTTGCTGCGAGTGCTTTGCAGCCTTTTGTGTTCGCTTAATTAAAAAGTTACGTGGGCTCTTGATCTCTCAGAACTTTTTTTTATGCCTCTGAAATGAATACGTTCCATTTTATAGGTGGCTCTTATGTGTGATTTTTCGCCCCTTAACGCCTTTACGCTCCAAGAAAAAAGAACATTAGGCCTTCTCGAAAACTTTTTATCTCCAAAACCTATAAAGCCCTAGCCATTATATGCAGGCCTGCTCATGTTGGCATACTAAACTATATACCCGAATAGCCCATAAAGTCGGTTCAATTTAAAAGCTATTCAGCTGCTCACTTTAAAAGGTATTTGGGGCATGCTGCTCGCACTCGCGTTGGCATGTTGCACGTGGCCGCCGGCGATCGATCGCAATTTATATATATATATATATATATATATATATATATATATATATATATATATATATATATATATATATATATATATATATATATATATTCATATATATATAAATAACAGAGCAATAACGGACAATTTATTAAAAGTGAAAGCAAAATTATTTCATATCGATACGTGCCGCAAACCCGATTATGAAAATTCCATCGCAAAAAAAAAGAGAAAAAAAAAACAATTATAAAAAATTAAAAAAAGCTAATAACTAAATTGAATTAACAACAAAAATACTCTAAAATTCAAGAGGCAAAGACAGAGGTGAAGCAAAAAGTTGCAGAAAATTTCAACTTAATTATTGTATAATCGTCAAGATGCCCTGCGCCCAGAGCTCGTATAGACCAGTATATCTGCATTAATTAGCTCGCTGATTTCTCGTAATTACGTGTTTACAAAGAGCGTAATAAATGCGAAAGACTCGCTAAACTGCTGATAGAGTATTGAAAGAAACACCGAGCAAGCGTTTAATTAAAACAAAATCAACACAAAAACCAAAAGCTTTCAACAGCAACAACAACAGCTCAATGGGTTGGTCAGTAGTGCAAGATGGAGGCGTTGCAGCAGTGGCAGCCACTGCTGTTGGCCGGTCTGCAATCTATGGGCGCTTAATGCCTGCGGCGGCTTGGGTGCAATGTTTGATGAACACGTCACACTTGGCCAGACAGAGAGCAGGCATGTAGCAATTTGTGTATGCCATTAGATGCTGGCGTTAATTAGATTATAGATGAGCAGGCAACAGCAACAGATTCTAGCAATGCCACATTATGACGTTGATTGCCCACAGCAAGGCGGGGTCGGATGATAATGAGTCTGAGTCTGAGGCAGCAACAGCAACAGCAACAACAACAACAACTGCAACGACGACATCAATCACAGGCCAGCAATTTGCTGGCATTTTTCGATTTAAAGGCGCGCAAATATTTGCATAATTGCTGCTTGCCCAAGCAACAAAACCGCGAAAACAGCCAACAAGGGAAATGTGCACCAAAAATATTTTTGGAGTGCACACAGCAACCACCACAACAGCAGCAGCAGCAGCAGCTGCGACAAACTCTTTGTTTGACTGAGACTGCCTGTTGACCGGTTTTTATGAGCGGCCCAAACTTGTTGCGCATTATGCAATCAAGTGACGACAAGGCAAATTGGAGTTGCGTGCCAGGAAGTCGAAAAGACTGCCAGTCCAAAATGGAGGCGGCCATACATAAATGCAGACGCATTCGCTGCCTATCTAGAAAATCAAGGAGCGTACCACAGGGCACCTTCTGGTAGGTAGGTGTACAGCTGCCAAGCTAATTACTGACTATGAAGATTACTTAATTAGTTCAAGGTGTTTGAGTTCGCTGTTGAGTTTTACTTTTACTTGTTGTCCAAAACTTTTGTTAATTCAAGTTGAGGCTGGCGATTTATCAAAAAAATGATTACAATCCATCTTGATAGTTCTTCGTCTTCAAATGACAAAGGAAAGATTTCCATGTGAATATATCTTTTGATCGAGAAAGCCAGCCAAGACTTTCTAGTACTTATGTCCTTATATACCTATACCTATGAATACATATATATTCCCTTTCTCATGAATTATCTACTTGATTTTATTATATTAGATATTTTGCGATTACCTTATAGTTATATCCATATATATACCTGCACCTATCAATATAAGTATATCTTCCTCTTCCCTTCCTCATTATATATCTACTTGATTTTATGATATTACATATTGTATATTTTGCAATTACCTTATAGCTCACATTGCTGGCCATGCACTCACGCTGCATGGTATCTCCGCTGGCTGTGATCTCCACAATTTTCGGCACTTCCGTTTCGGGCTGAGCTGTAGTCGATGTTGTGGTTGTTGTTGTTGTTGTTGAGGTTGTATTTGTAATTGGCTCAATGCGCTCATCGTCCATGCTGACGTCGCTGAGATCCATAAGAGCCTGATGCATGCTGGTATTGTGATGGAACAGTAGCTCAAAGTCGTCGCCACCACCTGCCGAGCGACCCTCGCCAGCGAATGCAACAAATGGCGTATCAGTTGTGGTCGTCGTTGTTGTTGTTGTTGCTGGGGCTGTAGTGCTGCTGCTGCTGCTGCTTGTTTCGTCCTCGGCTGGGTGCTGCACTCCAAGCATATGCTGTCCTTCAACAATGTTAATCACTGGAGCCGCATCCACTTCGAATCGCGGCATGAGTGTGGTGCCCTCTGCCTCCGCCGCTGCCTCTGCCTCAGCCGCTGTCTGTGCCTCGACTGGTGTCTCAGTCGGTTGCTGACTCTCTGGCTCATTCATATTCATGGCGCGTGCTCGGGATGTGGATGTCGTCTCAGTTGATGGCTGTGCCGTTGCCTTGTTCTCCATACTGACAATAATGCCAATGCTCGACTCGGTTGTCGTTGTCGTTGTTGTTGTTGTTGTTGGTGTTGTCGCTGCTGCTGCTGCTGCTGCTGTTGCAGTTGTTGTCGCTGGCTCGCCCTCTTCGGTGCTGCTCGACAGCATTTGATAATCTTCGTGCTCGGCCAGGCGATCATGATTCTCGGACAGTATATGCACATGATAGGGATCTTCGGACTCACTTGTTGTTGTCGTTGTTGTTGGCGCGGCAGTTGTTGTTGTTGTCGACGTTGGCGTCGTCGTGGTTGTTGTTGTTGTTGTTGTGAGTGCGGACTTGTCGCTCTCACTTTCATTCTCACTGATGCCGGACACATTCTCATCGCTGTTGCTGGCCGTTATGAGCGTTGCCGGATGTCGAAAATTATGCAAGTCCTTGGCATCATCATCGCTCTCATTGGAGATCTGATTAAGTAGGAGCTCATTCTGGTGATCCTGCTCCTGCTCCTCCTGCTGCTGCTGCTGCTCTGTGGTGGCATCGCCTCCTACGCTCTCAGCATGCTCGTCCCTCAAGGGAATATGCTGAATGTGCGTCGCTCCCAGCTCCGACGGATGTACGATCTCAGCACGCGGCGTAGTCGTTGGCTCTGTGGAGGTAATCGGCTCAATGCTCGTCGAGCGCAGAGTGGTTTCATCCTGAGCAGTGCTGCTGCTGCTGCTGGAGGTGCTGCTGATGTCAACTGCAGGCAGTATGGTTGTCATTTCTGCAATTAATCAAGACAAATTTATGATTAATGAATTGCATATAAGATTCTATCATCCATGTAAATATTTATTATGAGATAAAACTAGCAAAATTTGAGCCAATTATAATGAAATTAAAGCTGAAAATTTCAAATCTTGAATGGAATTTATTATTGTTTTTCCATAAATACATAATTTATAAAAGCTTATCTCTTTTGCTTCTTTATGAATTTTAATTTATTTATAAAATGCCTCTATTCTTTTGTTCATCAAAATATGAGAATAGCTCAATTTGTAAAACAAATTTTTGGATATAGAGGCATTTACTATTTATATATGCAATCATTTGGAAAATATCTATCTGTATTATATATGGGCTCTGCAGTTTAGAAATGTTTGAAAATGTTTTAATGCATGCTGAATATAGAGGAATGTCTGGAATGTTTATATAATCGGAAAAAAGAGAGAGAAAATTAAATTATCATCAAATTTTGTAGGTAACACTCATCTAGATTCGATTCTCAGCGCTTTGTATAGGGCTTAAGAATGGGAAATAAAGTAAGGTAAAATATAGTTGAATTTTACATAAGCTTTCTCATATATGTTTAACACCCTATTAAATATAATTTCCATTGAATAAATATTTGTTTTAGATATATGCATAATACACTTTTGATTGAATATTCTACATACAAGTCTTGCCGCTTCCATATTTATCATCGCTTAGCGCTGATGATTTCACACATAAATATTAATGAATTTCAATTCAATTAGCACCGCCGAGAGCTATTGCCAATTTCTGACTTCCATTGACAGTTAGGGCCGACATTGAGCCATTCGAGGGGTAAATAAACTTTAAGCTGCCTATTTTGTTTTTGCTAAGCTGGCCCACATTTACGGTACCGGTACACCGACAAGAATTTCTGCGCAAGGCTAGCGGAAATCGAGTTAAGAGAGAAAAAATAAAAGAAGAACCAGTAGAGAAGAACATAACCTACTCGTATTGGTAATAGCTCACGCGTCCCGACACTGGCACAGCATCAATTGGCAACGCCATCGTTGAAATCAACTCGTAATATCTGCTTGGCTGTACACCAAGCGAGCGAACATTTCAGAGCTTCAGTTCTGCAGAATCCGCAAGGTATTCATTAAGCTGCGATTGCGTCTGTACCAGCTGAATCATCGGGCCCTGGCCGGCCATTCTCGGAAGACAAACCCTGCGATGCCAAAATATCAGCCAGCCGCATCTTTACTGATATTTTTTTCCCATTTTGTGTGTGTGTGTTTTTTGGTTTTTTTTTTTTTTCTGCGTTGTGTTCGGTTCTTTGGAGATTTTGTTTTCGTGCTTTGCTTTAACGCGCTTAGCCTGAGACTGCGAGTTGGGCAAGTTGTTATTCTTTAGAGACTCCCATGTTGCTGTTGCTGTTGTTATTGTTATTATGTTTCTCGGCTTTGGTCGGTTCTCTGTTCCTTCGCTGTTATATAATTACATTTATTTTCGGGCATAGTTTCGGGGCGCAAAGCTCATGTCATAAATAAATGATGACTTTAGTGGGACCATTTCAGTTTGTATTAAGCAACAACAACAACAACTACAGCCACACACTTGACTCTGTGTTGGCACAGTGGGCCGAAACCATATTTAAATGAACAGCAGCTAAGCTAAATTGAATTAAATGCTAATTTAGTAATTGTTAGCGTGTTTACAAATTAAATTAAGCTCTTGGAATAGCATTAAGATTAACATAAACTTAAATGCCTTTTAGCTCAAAAGGAGAATCTACCTTCCAGATTATTTAAGTATTGAGCTACGCATAATATCTGTAATATATAATAACTAATAGATAATACAATAACTAAGTATATAAATATCATGTACGCTATTTTCTCCACGATTTAATATAATCTCTTTCTGGCTATTGAATCTTAGGCATGTCAATATACTTGGTACGAATTCAATGATTGAGCCGATGCTAATCTACGTTTGGTTCTCATCTGTGTAGCTGTTAGATTTGAAATTGTTGTACGTAGCTCGTTTATCTTATTACTCGGACATGGCTCCCTTCTCTCGCTTGGAATGCAATTCTCTATTAATTTACACACTCTTTCGTGTACTTGGAACCTTCGGCTTCAACTACTCAGGTTACGGAGCAGCAATAAACGGCCATTACTTTATGGATCCTTGGTACCTTCGCTGACTCATGGCAAGGCAAAGAACAGAAAACAAGAAAATAAAATAAAAGCACCCGCAAGTCAACTTGACGAGCGCTGCAAATGTGGCCCCATGGGGGCGATTCAAGAGCCAGTGACGCAGACATAGACGGACGGAGAACTATGCGTTCGAGTGTGCCTATAGGCACAGTGGCTGTCATGCATGCGTGGTAATAAGCATAAAGGCAGGAGCCAGCAGGCAGGAGACGGCAGGCGGCAGGCGGCACGCAACAGGCGGTTGGGCTTGCAGTCAGGCAGAGTTGTCGTCGCTCCAATAAGAAAAGGTGCTTTTGGCTCAGGCCAAGCCGCGTGCAACGAACGCCAATTTAGCGCTAAAAAAAATAGAAGAGCTGCACTCAGTTCGTTAGCCCAGACGGAGACCCAGGTACCAGGTACCGTCCCTGCCCCAGCCCTATCCCTAGCCGTAGCCCAGCCCTAGCCTTAGTCCATGCTGTAGCATGCTCATAAATGCTCTCGTCTCTTTTAGCTCTGTGTGTGTGTGTGTGTGTGTGTTTTTATGTTTTGGCTGCAGACGTTGCTTTTATTGTTGCTCTTACTGAGAGAGTTGAGGGGCCAGAACTTGCGATAGGGTTACTGACTTGAACCTTGAATTTCAGTTCGTTATGCTGCCAGCAGCTTTGGCTGCACTGCTGCCATAGTAGTTGTTGTGGTTGTTGTTGTTGTCACGTTTGGCCGTTTATAATACTCGATGCTGCAGTTGTTGCCGCTCTTGCCGTTCTTTGAGCTCCTTTGTTTTGTCCATTTCAGCTTGGTGCACAATTTGTCTTTTACTGTCACTGATTTTCATTTTTCACTGGCACTCGTTAAGCGCTTCCAACAGTCAGCAAACTACACATTTTTATCTATATACCTCTATATATATATATTCTATATATATATATACGCTCATCTACATATGCATATTGGCAGTTGGGTAAAGTTCATTGCAACGTGTTTGGTGGTCTCTGGGTCTCTGTTATGCAAGCTAGTTTCACTACAATTGCACTGCATTCGAAAGACTCTGGCAACGAACTTGGCTTGTTTGTTAACCATGTCAAATGGACTCTTGGTCTCAGCCTTGTTTATGATGTGCACAGTTAGGCCAAGCCACCGACTTGATTATGATATACGACAATGGCTTCTATCCGCATGCCTCCTCTTATATTTTTCTTTTAAACGCCCACAACAACTACTACAACAACAACAACAACCTCTACACTAGCAATAATACCAAGCACTTATGCAAAAATGCAAAACGTTGTCGGTAGTCGAAACTCATTTGCGGTTTTTTCAAGTCGCCGCACGTTTTGCGGCTCTGAACAAACAGTCAGCAATGCAGGAGTTGGTCAGAGGTCTTATAAGAGGTCTACAAATGATGTGCTTAGAATTGACGAGCTGTCACTATGAGCCGTATGCATGCTAACCGGATGTCTTTCTTGCCAGCTGCTCAGCAAGCTAAATAGATTTACGGTAGCTACCCATTAAACGGAACTGCTCATAAAAGACCTTTTTAAAGATCTCAAACAATAATCGTGCGCTCCAATCTATGACTGAGCATTTTTAATCGAGTTTATTCTGTTGCTAGAGTTTATTTAGCACGATTTTCAAATGAACTTTAAGATTTGTTAAGAACAGCGAAAAGAAGATTTGTTTGATTTTTTATTTAATTTACCAATTACAAAATAATTACCACGAAACTTGCATATGAATGTACATGAATTTATGTATGTATGTCTAGAGTTAATATCATAACGGCCATATGGCGCTTGAAAAAGCTAGAAAATCTTTACCCTCGTCTGTTGCAGCGTTCGACTGAAATGAAGATTGATGAGCTGCTCTGAATATTGATCTATAAAGATTTTAGTCACGCACATGAAAAGCCTTTCAAATCGAGCAAACCCATATCTCTAACAAGTTTTCTGAAGACTTCCGCAGTAGCTGTCTTATCAGACAGCCATAGAAACATATTATATAAATTACTGGATGCAGCCAAACTCGTAATACCCCAAACCAATATATAAGAAGCAATAACCAAAATATGTAACTACATACGTACACAACCAGAGTGGATACTCCAAATGACTGCTCACACATTGGGCGATATTCGAGTATGTGTTTTGGCGGTAAATAATTTTCAAAGCAGCCAACCGGAAGCACGTCACATACGGCCCACTCTCGTATTCATAATGAGCACTACATAATGACCATTAACAACGGGCCATGCTTCGTGGGGCGACGAAGTGGGTCTGTCCGTTGGTCAAGCTTTTTAAGCGCCCAAAAAGTGTCAACAACTGACTGGGGGAGACAGTATAAATAAATATATATATACGTGTATATACATATATATATATATTTCATTTGCTTAGATTTTTTGTAATGTAACGGTCATGCGTCTGCCCGCCTTCATATGTGTGTGTGTCACGTATCCACAAAGCTGAACTGAATCAAAACAAAATTATTTGATTTGCCTACTTGAGAGCGGCTTTACCTGCAAATGTGGTTTAGCTGCCATCTGATCCGGTTTAAGTTTGATTTGGACAAAACTCTGCTTTTTTGTTTTTTTCTGAAACTATCAACAAATAGCGAATGGATGTTGCGTAATTTACGACACCTCGCTTGCATTTAGAAAGCTGAATAAAGTTTGGGAGAAATACATATTAATCAAGTTAACATATATGTATATATGAATGGCCGTATTTTGTCAGGGTGTTAATGGAGGTTAATAATTAAAGCCAAATTTTTGGTTGTTTTTGTTGGCTTTGAAAATTTGATTGTTGTTTTTTTTTTTTTTTTAATTTAAAAGTCTTTG